GACCTGGAGCTTCTCGAGGCAGCCATAGCAAAAAAGCAGTCCTCCAGCTTCGGCGGCAAGCAGGTGGGGAATAGGGGGGGGGATGGGAGGCGAGGCTGACCTGGGTGCGCCGCGCCGCGCAGCCGGACAATGCAGTATCGGAATCCCGGGGAAGCACCGCCTCGCCCGCGGCGCCGCCTGCCGCCTCAATTCACCGAACCCTCATCGTTGCCGGCCCGCGTGCATGCCCCGGGAACGAATTTGCGTGCGCCTGCCATCACTGGGGAAGCCTATGTCCAGCAAGGCGCGACGCACCCCAACGCTGCTCGTCAGGCCCTCCAATCCCCTGCCGCCGTCATGCCCCGGCGCCCTCCACCAAACCCCCAAACCCAGGCGAACAGCCGCTCCGGCGCCAAGCCCGCGGATGCGTCCGGCCCCGTGGCCGTCGCCGTCGGCTCGCGGGCGCACCTGGAGACGGCGGCGCTGGCGGAGCGCACGCGGCTGCGCAACTTCCTGATGCACGGCTTCCACGCGCTGGTGACGTTTGTGGCCGGCCACCAGGTCAACGACACGCAGTGCGGCTTCAAGGTGGGGGCGGCAAAGGGGCCGGCCTGCTCCCGGGGCCAGGGGACGGGCGGCGTGGGGTTGGTTTGGGCGGCGATACGGGTGCTCTTGTCACGATACGGGTGCTCTTGTCACTGGTCGAAGGCTCTGGAACCTGGCCTGAGCTGCTGCTGACATGTGCGTGCGGGCGGGTGCACACACACACACACACACACACACACACACACACACACACACATGTCGCATGCATTCCACACACACACACACATCACATGCATTTCACACACAGCATTCACAGCTGCACACACACACATGTCGCATCCATCACACACACGGCCGCTCACCCCGCCCATCGACCACAAAGCCTCCACACCCTCCCCCTCTGAACCCTCACCGGCCCGCCTCCAGATGTTCACGCGCCGCGCCGCGGCCGTGATCTTCAGCAACCAGCGGCTGCAGCGCTGGTGCTTTGACGTCGAACTCATCTACATCGCGCAGCGGCTGGGGGTGCCCATCTCAGGTGAGGGAATACGAGAGGAATGTCTGCTGCATGCATGATGATCTGCTCCCCTTCAGAACGTTCCCCTTGAAAAGCAGGTGCTTGCCACATGCAGCCATGACAGATGCTTGGTGTGCTAGAAGGCAGCAAATATGCGAGAGGGGGCGCGGGGATCCTGCGGCACCGCCGCGCAACAGTGGGCCGCACGGTACAACAGCCAAGCAGGCGTGCAGCTGTCGTTTTGAATGCGTGCGCCTGCCCCGTGCGTCCCGGTGCCGCACTTCATGCGCCCTGACCCGGAACCCTCGCTTTTGCACCCCCACCCCCTCCCTCTCAAACCCGACTGAATCCAATCGGGCAACAACGGCGATGTTGTTCTCTGTCAGAGGTCCAGGTCAAGTGGACCGAGATGCCTGGCTCCAAAATCCGGTTCACATCCATCTTGCACATGGCCTGGGAGCTGGCAACACTCAAGGTGGGTGGGGTGGGGTGGGCGGCGCCAAGAGGCAATGTCAAAGTCGCGCAGCTGCGCAGGTTGGGCATGGGAGCGGGGTTTTTGGGCCCTCGTCGCCGCCCCCTCCCCCCAAAGTAAAGATTTTATCCGGGAACTGTACTCCTCCCCCCACTCCCCTCACTGCCTTACCGCTATCGCAGCTGTGCTACCAGTGGCTGCGGCTGTGGCGGGTCTACGAGGAGACGGACGTCAGGGGGGCGGCCAAGAAGGGCCAGTAGCAGCATTGAAGATGGCAGCAGCAGCGGCAGCCGCAGCGCCGGCGGGAGCGGCAGCGACAGCAGCAGCAGCAGCAGCAGCAGCAGCAGCGGCAGCAGCAGCAGCAGCAGCGGCAGCCGCGGAGGGGCAGGAAAAGCCACAGACCGGCCAGGAGCAGCAGCAGCCACGGAAGCGGCAGCCGCAGCCGCGGTCAGCGGGCATAACAAAGCCCAGGTTGCAGCACAACTGTGCAATTCTTCCGGGGCCCTGCCACGCAGGGGCGGGCGCAGCGACACCAGGGGCGGCGGCAGCCTGCAAGCGCCAGAATGGCGTTTGCTCCGGCGGCGGAGGCGGCGCAGGCTCGCGCGCGTCCCTTGGCGCGGGGTCGTGGTCAGGGCAGCTGCGTCAGGCCACTTGCCATGGGCAGGCAGATGGTGCGGTCGCACTTTTGGTGGCAGCCTCGCCCATCCGCCGGCGGCGCCGCGCCGCGGGTTGGGCCCGATGCACGGCAGGCTGTGCGCGGCTTGGCTCTCCCTGCCTTGCGCGCGGCCGCCAGGCCGGCCTTCCATATTACACTGTCAACTTCCTAGCTTTCTTGTTGCATTTGGAAAGGTCAAGTGTGTTCTTGACTCTCCTTTAATTTGCTGAGGTTTACAGAAAGGATATAGCGATGCAAGATCGTTATCAAGTGACAATTCATGCCTATCACAAGGGTGGGGGCTCAAGGCAAGGCGGCCGCTGTGCCTTTTGGTCAGGGCTGCGCAGGGCCGCCAGGCTGCAAGGCGCGGGGCAGCTAGGCCAGGCCAGTCGTGCCTTCCCCGGGGGTACACGCCTGCGCATATGCGGGAGACAAGGCATGAGGAGATCCTGGTATCAAGGCACAGCACTGAACGGCGGAACTCGGGGTTGGGGGTGCCTCTGCTGGGGTCTGGTGCAGCTGGCCGGCGGGTGAGCAGCTGGTGACGCCATTTCGTTGAGCTGGAGACGCCTGGTGTAGCAAGGCGTTTCCAGCAGCAGGGGGATTCAGTGAGACGGTTTTAACAAGCAACAATTCATTCATTTTTTTATAGTCAGCATGGGCCCGCGGCTTCTTCTCCTCGCAGCGGTCGTCCTGCACGGCTCGATCTCGGTTGCTAAAGGTGCGGTACGGTACAAGGCGTCCATCATAGCTGATGCTTGAGAATTAACAGCACAATCGATCTTCAAACCACTGTGAACTCACGTGCATATGCGAATGCGCCGTGCGGCATGCGCCGCTGGCTGCTAGTGAGCTCGTGCTGGGTCTGCGGCCTTCGCACACGTGCAGGCGGGGATAGAGTCTAGGTGGCCCCTACACCATGTGCACTGACATACTGATGCCCTATGCAAAGGGCAATTTCGTTGCCTTGCCTTGTCATGTGCATAGCCACGTGCAGTGCCCCCCTCAGCACCATCCTCCGCACCTACCTCACTGCTTGCTGGGCTGCTGATGCGCACTGCTGGGTTCAAGCTCACCTGTCTGTCAACACCAACTGCCCTCACACCGTACCCGACTCCCACCTCCCAACAATGCCCTCCCCCCAAGGCCCCGGGGAGTGGACGTGCCTGCAAAGTGGCCTGCCCCCCGCATTCTCAAACACCGTGCTTCGCCTCGCGCCTGATGGCAACCCCGAATGTGCGTCTGCGGACGGCAGGCGCTGCCTGCGGAACCCTGGGTCCAGCGGCTGCGCGCCGTGGAATGGGCGGCAGGTGGGCGGGACGGCGCGCACCGCCGGGCCCCAGCCGAGGCTATGGGGGCCGGCCGCGGGCGCAGAATGGCGGGGCAGCCTTTGGGGTCTGAAACCATCTGGGGATGACACCCATCAGCTGACAACATTCGTCGTTGATTGATGATTGCAAGCTGGCGCTTTGTCACCAAAGTTATAAAGTTATGGGACAGCCACGCATCTGCCCGTTGTTGATTGCCTGCAACCTACTGCACGCTGCCCCCCTTGTACCCCCCCCCCCAAAAAAAACCATCCTAGCTGCCGTCTGACACACACAGCCCACCCCGCCCACAGGTGAACCTCGTACCAAACATGACGCCCCTCCGCTGCGGCGAGCAGCACAAGCGAGCGTGGGGCTTCACCGGCTATGACCGGCCCGACCACTGGTGCACCCCCGCCAAGAAGCTTCTTACGGCGCTGGGTGGGCACTGGGCTGTCGTCTGTTGGGTGCAGCCATGCTTGTGTTTCCCAATCTGATCAGTACTTTGATCATTGTCAAACCTACTAGTAGTCCGCTGTTTTTCAGCAGCGTGGCCAAGCTTCTTCGACCAAGCACAGCTGCAAGCACGTCAGGCCCTGGTGCAGTAGTCATGGGGCCCAATGCTCACGGCGTCAAATCAGTTGGCTTCAACCCCGCAGTATCAAGTGCTGACGCGAAACAAACCCTGCAAATGCAAAACACAACACCCGCGTCGCGCGTGCCCTGGCAGCCACCTGCAAGCCCGGCAGCCTGGCCGCGGGCCTACCTTGCGACAGCCACGGATGCTGCAAGAGCGGCACCTGCCGCCCCAACCCCAACGCCGCCACGAGGGCCGAGGCCCCAAGGCTGTGCGGCTGCACGTCGGCAAAGGATTGCAGCCCGCGAAGCTACTGCGGTAGCGGGACCTGCCTGCTGCGGCGCATGGCTGGGGAGGTGCGGCCCAACAGCGTCGCTGCGGCGACAGGGTGCCTGTCCGGCGGCGCTGGGGCGGACGGCAGGTGCACGTGCCAGAGTGACGACCACTGGTGAGGCCAGGGGGCGGGAGCAAGGGCGCGGCACATGATGAGGCGCGCGTGCGGCCTGCCGTGGTTTGCTCGCTGGCCGTCAATCCTTGCACCGTGTTGTATGCGGTGGAGGAGCTGCGATGCAGTGAGGTCAGGGTGGTTTTTGATCTTGCCTGTCTGCTGCAGGTGACGTGGTAGCTGCGCTGGCGACCAGCTGGCTGCGTCACCACATCCCACCGCTCCCCACTCGCTGCCGCCTTACCGTATGTACCGTACACAAAGAACCCAAGTGAACAACACGGGCAAACACACACACACACACAAACACACACATACACACACAGAGGCACACACACACATACACATTCTCTCGTATTTGATCTCATTGTGGATGTTTTCCTGCAAGCCTGCAGCCCCCAATCCTCACCAACGTGCACTCACACACCCACACCCGCCCGTCCTCACCCACCCGCCCCACTTTCCAGCCCTCCAACCGGCTTCTGCCTCAAGCCCGGTTCGACCAAGTGCGCGCCCCTCCAGGTGTTTGGCGCGCCTTGCAGCAGTGTGCGCCAGTGCTTCACGCAGCGCTGCACGGGGGGCACCTGTCGCGACTGCTCGAGCGGCGCAGATTGCCCGCCGGGGCTCAGCTGCAACATGACGACCCGAGCCTGCTCTCACCGTGAGTGACTGACTCAACTCCCAGTTATTGATGCTTCTCAATCGACTGGCGCCGATTGCTGTGGCGCGCAAAGGTTGCTCATGTTAGCGATGGTTGCTGGGTGACCGGCGCTGAGTCAGCCGCACTCTCTCTGTGGGATGACGGTGCAGTTCAAGCACAAGTCAACTGCTGCCTGAATCCAAACCTCCCATGCCCTGCCTTTCCCCCTCAGGCGACCTCCCTCTGCATGCGCCCTGCAAGTCTGGGAAAGACTGCGACCGGTCGGGGCTGTGCGTCGGTGGCGCCTGCGTCGTTTGCACCCAGGACGCCCAGTGCTCCGCTTCCCCCCAGTATCGGGCGCGCTGGCAGTGCCGCAGGGCAGCCGATCCGCTGGAAAGCACCTGCCTGCCCGTCTTCCGGTGCTTTTCGAATGCTGCTTGTGGGGTGGCGGCCAGCGAAGACGACGTGGCGACGGAGGGGGTTTGCCACGGGAAGGCTTGCCTGCAGTGCGGGGCCGCGGGGGCGCGGCACACGAGGGTTGCGGCGCCCATGGACGTGAGCAGCCAGGGGCGGATTGTGTTCTGCAACATGGAGACGAACAGGTACTTCTAGCAGGGACACCATGCGATCATGGTTCCGCTGTGTGTTGCCGCACTCTGCATTAGCCCTCGCATCCGCTGATGCAAACAACTCGCGCGCGCATGGCACACAGCATGGCACACAGCATGACACACAGCATGACAATGGCATATGAGACGGCGCGTGGACCCCTTGCTGGCTATGTCGATATGACTGTGCTGTTTTATCGCCTATCTTCCAAACCCCGGGGGCTGTGATGCAGGCCGTGACGTGGTACAGCTCGGTACAGTATCACCAACAACGCAGCCACGCCACGCGTGCGCGCCACACGCGCACTTGCACGTGCTACACATTGGCAGCCCTTCGAAAGAATCGGATTCATCCCTTGACGCAATATCATGCTGTCCTATCGATGCGTGTCGCGAGTCAAAGAGGATGCGAGCACCGCATCGGGATCTTTGTGACGTCCACCACTAGTTTCCAAGGCACAAGACAAACGCGGAAGACTCCAGTTGTTTCATATGTTTCAGCTCCCCAAAATGGCTGTCTGCGCGATGGGCAATCCCCGTCCGACGCTGTTGCCAGTCGTCGCGTCACAAAGCAGCGCTGCCACTTGCGGCTCTTGCCTTTTATTCGGAGATATAACATGGGATGAAAAGCCCGATGCCTTGAGCTCCAACTCGGGCTGCCGCGATGGCCAATGGCGATCCTCTTCAATCGATCCACGGCTATCTGACCGCATCAGGGCGGCCCAGCACCGGTTACAATATCTCACTCAACCGCAGTGCGAGGCGGCAGCCAAGGTGGGGGTGCACATGCGCGGGCCGCCGCGGTCTTCGCTGTGATGCGGGATCTTCCCTTCGGGATGCCCGCCGCCGTACCTCGCGCCAGCGCGCGCTCCCCCATGCCCGCGTGGATGCTGCGCCGCAGCAAGCCGCCCCGTGCAACCCTTCCCTTCACAAGCCAACACTTCTGCATGCACACAAGATAGCGTTCGCCGCTTTCGGGATGCGGCACCTCATGTGTC